ATTTGTGGAAATAAGGACTTTAAGATTCTTTTTGTAAAAAATGTTACGATATTATAAATTGCTGCCTTTGTAAATGGTAAGGTTCTGTCACTGAACTTTAAATTGACCTCTCAATTTAAAACAGAACTTTAAATTTAATTAAATATTGGGACTCTACTATATAGTAACATTTTATTTAAAAATCTACAAATATTTTTACTAGGTTTTTCCAGAGCACTACTCTTTAAAGAGATGGAGCTACTGGGGTTAAATAGTGACCAAAAAATTAACATTGAACATGCCAGTTAGAGATTTAAGATTACCAAAATGCACTGCAAAGATCTCTGTGGCACATGAAGAGCATCATGCTCTTTTTACATGGAAGCAGCTAAAAGTGTGTTGGCTGAGGTTGATAATTGATTTTCCAGAGTGAAAATTGGACCCTGCCATTTTACTCAAACAGAAAAAGTGTCCATTGAAGGCCAGATGCCCATATGTAAAAGGTGGAAAACTAACAATCCAATGCACAGTTAAAGGGCATCACCAAAAATTAGGGTGCATTTTTATTTGCAAGATGCTCTTCTAACAGGAAGATTACAATTGTTACAAGGCTCTTTACACATAACTATAAGCATGATCCCATAAGTGGAAAGTTATGAGAAACCAAACCATCCAAAACATTTTAAGTAGGTTTGGAGTGAATAAAATTAAATGTCATAATATATTCAGAGACTTAAATTAACTGTTTAGGACAGCAGCAATGAAATTGGCTTAGAGAAATGATAACCTTTAGGGAGATAGACCTTAGCCTACCTGTTAGCAGTACTTTGAATAGGCCACATTGCTGAAAGAGTTACAGCTATACTGTGTGTTGTTTTGGAGCTCAGAATAATCCTAATCTGAACAGAAACTAAAGAGTTTTGGATTTTATTAATCAATTTTGTAACTGCTATCTTTTACATTTAAAATGAATCTCCTGATATGTAAATTTTTCTCATGTCTAAAGAATTTTATTTGGGCTGATTGGGACCTAACCCTGCAATAATAATCCATGCCATGCTAGAGCTAAGGTCATAGGAAGTTAAAGCTATTGACTTTTAGCTGAAAATTTTCTGAAATTAAAATTCTTCTGCATTTCTAAGCTGTAGGACTGAATAGAGAATACTAGCTGGAGTGCATGTTGCTGTGTGTGTGTGTGAGGCTATTCCTCTAGAAGACTGGACTGCATTTAAGACTCCCGAGTCCTGGAGTCACCTTTCCCACGTGCTGTTCCTATAGGCGGAACCTGGGAAGGCTGATACATACCGCGCCCCTGGTTTCAAAAACACACTGTCCGTTAACACCGCAAGGTGGAACCAGCATGCCCAGGAAGCAGAAGAGTTCTCCGTTGATTCTCTACTGGTCTGCGTTGAATCCTGGCAACCTGCAAGTTTACTGACTCACCTTAGCTTCCCAGTCTACAGTGAATTGTACACTAGTACCAGCCACAGGGCGGCTGTGGCTGTGTGGCAGAGTTGTCGTCTTGCAATCAGAAGGTTATAGGTTCAATTCCAGCTTCCTCCTGCCATATGTCGATGTGCCTCTGGGCAAGGCACTCAACCCTAAATTGCCTACCGGTCTGCATATAGGTGTGCAAATGGGTGAATGTACTGTAAAGTGCTTTGAGTAGTCAAAATGACTGGAAAAGCGCTATGCAAGTTCAGTCCATTTACCATTTTTATTTTAGTAGATAGCAAGGTGTTGCTACCCAATCATCCTCCCAGGGAAGAAGAACCTAGACCAGTTGCAGTAAGCTGCTGCCTTCAAGGTCTCTAGACACCTACTGGGATTCAAACCACCACCCCTGAAATGAGAGAAAAGAGCAATTCTAGTGCCATCATACACCGCAAGACCCCTAGAAAGCTCGGTAACAGCAAAGGGTCACGACCACTTTCACAAAGTGAAGAGACTTACCCAAAGCTGCCACAGTAGGATCCATCTCAGCAGGCAACAGTTCAACTCTGAACACCTCATTGTGACTCATGGTGCAGATTTCCTAAATGTTTTAGCTCATTCTAAAACATCTAGTTTGACAGAGGAGCTCATGCTAATCACAACACTATATGGTTTTTTAGGGATTGCAGCAAAAACAGCAAAACTAGAAGCTAAAATATGAAGCCCCACCATGCAATGGATTCTGGGTTCTTCTAAAGTGCATTTCTGATGTTCAGAACAGTATTAATACATATTTCTGCCCCCTAGCAGGATCTCAGCGATGAAGTTAGAAGCTGAGCTGTGATTTCTGTCTTGAAAACGCAGTTTGAAGACAAACAAACTGCGTTTTGTTTAGGGTTAGGATTGGGGTTGGTTTTAAAAGTCTTAAAATAAAAGACTTTTAAAACCAAATTCAAGCCTTCAGAGCAGCATAAAGATGAAACTCCATCATCCAACAGAGGGACTGAGATGGCATTTTAAAACTGAGCTGAGTTCAGTCCAAAAAGGAGAGTTTAAAAAGTAAAAGCATAGAAAATCAGTTTGAAAATTGACTTTAAAGCAAATTCCTGTTGAGTAGAGCAGCATCAAGGCTAAATTTCATCCAACAGAAACTCAGAAATAACATTTTAAAGCTGAACTGATTTATTTGAAAAATTGAGCTCAAAAACAAGTAAAAATGTATTGAAATATGATTAAGTTGAGGCAACTGAGGATGGGGCTGAGTTCCAGCTCGATAGAAAATTCATCACCAGACTTCGATTAGGTTGAAAAATTCATGTAGCTGCCATAGGGTTAGGGTTAGCATGTAGCTATGGCAGCTTCATGAAAGGAGTAGGCCAGGGCCACCAAACATGGTGGGAACCTGCAGAGGCTTGTAGGGAGTATAGAAACCAAGTTTGATCTAATGAGGTTCACCTCTTGTTATGTTCAGAGAACCTTAGATACTCTTTTATTATAAGATCATCATACAGATAAGTTTATAAGAATTAACAGATGCACTGCTTGCAAATTAAATACATTTCATTTGGTTGACAAATGCCCTATTTGTAAAGTAGTCACAATTTATTTTATTGTACAAAAATGACCACACTGAAATGAAGAAGTCTATGCTGTCCTACTAAAATCATAACTGAAAAATAGTGAAAACCCAATTAAATAAAATTGACAGATTTGGGAGGAATAATAACGAGGAAAACCCTAACCTTTTTAATTTTTATTTTTTCACTTTTTGATACCTTTTCATTGTCGTTATCTTTTTATTTTTGTATTTGAAATTGCCCTTCCTGCACTTTTTAACATTATAGTCTTACATTTAGTCTTTATTATGGACTTAATTTAATAAACATAGCTTTGTTTCATGTTTTTAATTTGAAAAGGGTGTATTTATACTTATTTCACTGATTACATTATTTTACTTATTTAATTAACTTTGCAGTTAATAGGAATAGTCAGCTTAGACTTTTTCAGGTTTTCTTTGGGACAGGTGGGGTTGTAAGAAAGTCATGATCACACATCCACATCGATAGCTTTCTCATCTCCTTGGGCACAACCAGAGGACGGGGAAGTTGTGGACGGCGTGCGGCGGCCCGTGTATTACCTTAAACGCCCCAGTTTCAACTGCCCAGTAGACGGACGAGGTGGGGGGAGTTGTCGAGAAAGATTTTACCCATCTAACCCCAACCCTACCCTGACCAAAAAAGCTTTCTCTCAGTGAAATAAGTCAAAAATGCAAGAATGTGTAATTTTCTGCAAATTCATGAAAGTTCAGCTTTATCATCTTTGAAACAGCATAGAAGTACTGAGAGGTAGTATATTTTAGTGTTTTGAACAATTCCAGTGTTTCATGAACATAAAACTAAGACCAAAAAAGCATCAACCTTGCAGTTTTGCAGACAGCAGTAGTAATACTACTGGCAGGGGGTGGAGGAGCTCCATCTTTTCACAGATTATCTGTCTCATATTGTCAAAACATGGTGACAGTTTGACCAAATTTTGGTAAAAGTTACATTCTTACTTAAAAAATTAACGACTCGGAATAAATCAAGAACGGGCATCATTTCAGACTTTTATAATGTGCTAATCTCTAACTCATTAGAGAATTCAAATATTAAGCTTATAAACTGGAATTTGGACCTATCATCAAATATCAGTGAACAGGATTGGGGAAGGGCTTGCATTAAAACTCACAAAATGTCCATGAACAGCCATCTTAGAATTCTACAATGCCTGTGTTACGCCTGTGCATTTAAATAAATTCAATAATAACATCCCAGATCTTTGTGTAAAGTCTAATGGGACTCTAATACATTGCATGTGGGAATGCAGACAAATCAAAGCGTTTTGGACAGAGGTGAAAGATATAATTGAAAAAATAATCTTAAAGCAAATTTCACTGGATCCTGAATTGTTTCTGTTAGCTTTATACCCTGAGAAACATAACTTTAGTAAATCAGAATGTACTTTTATAGATATAAGCTCATTAGTGGCAAAAAAGTTTATTGCTTTGGCTTGGAAAAATATCAGTAGACTCAGTGCCACACAGTGGTTAAAGCAGATGTCGTCTAATTTGCCGCTAGAAAGAATAACATATTTTAGGAAATCCAAATGATATCTTTTTGAGAGGATTTGGGGGCCTTTCATTAATTTGATTAAGGACTTAGACTTGTCAGAGGGTTTGTTTGAGTTCTGATTTGCCAGAACCTGCGGTGTGCCATGCTGTATAGGTGTGTACATTTATACTCTATCTAACCAATTTGTAATCTGCTTGAATACCCCCGTTTTTGAAAAGCTGTGCTTTTTGTTGTTTTTTTCTCTTTCTTTTTCTTTCTCCGGTTTTTAATTCTCTGAGTTAAGTGAGAAGAATTACCGTCACGTAATAACTACAAAGAGAAACTGTTCAGATAGTTACATGATTCTATGTCTGAAGTGGAGAATCTCAATAAAATATTGTGGTAAAAAAAGTTACATTCTGCAGCTTTACAAGGTAAACAGCATATCTATAGTATGCAGTTTTGAATGAGCTTAGAAAATGCTGATGCTGTGGAGAATACGGTGAACTGGTTTTTATTGAGCAAGGGATACAAAAACAAATAATGTTGTTTACTCAGGCTTTCATATATATAGTTATTCCATGAAATGATGACTTCAGCAATAACTGTTGGTTTCAGTGATTTAGGGCTGGCAGGATGGTTCCTTTGCAGAGTCCGAACCCCACCCTGTATCCATCTCTTTCACCGTAACCTAAGAAGAAATAATTATTGTTACAAAAATATATCTGACATCATTCAGCAAATACAGAAGAATATAACAATAATTAGAGAACATACATCAAAACAATACATAAACATTTTAAAGTCATGACAAAGCTTGGTTGTCAGTGTAAAAGTAACTTAAAAATATTTTTTCAATCAATTTTGTCAAAAATGCATGTAAGAATCAAACCACCTGTTACCACCTGGTATTTCAGTTATAAATATTTGAGTTTGGAACCTAGAAGGCCATTACAGTGTGCATGTCTGATGTCTTTTTTCACAATTTACGAAATTGTGAAAAAAGTGTGACAACTTTGCCAAAACGCGTACACTCAGTGTTGCAGAGCCACGAGGAGATGCAGGGGGAATCATATCAATAGGGAAATGCGGGTCGAGAGGGGACGCCCTCTTTATCCTGGATCTTGATAGTAATCTCATTATTTCACTATTGTATCTCAATAATTAGAGATTTTTTAAATTTTTTACCACAGTAGCGGAAACAGGCTTCCATAGATTTTAGCACCAGACAAGCTTTGGCATGGTAACCGTTTGTTGTAGAAAAGACTTAGATGAATAATGTTATTGACCTTTGACACCAAAATGTCTAACCTGTGATTGTGATCTCATCTCCATCATTCAAGAATGTTCTAGTTTCTCCTCCTCCAATGTCAATACTCTTTGACCCTCTCCAAGACAGCTCCAGCATGGAACCAAAACTGCCAGGGTTCTATGGAAATAAAGTACATTTTCTTTTAGCAAGAATCGTAATTATATGTAAAGCAATATACTTTTGACAGCAATGCACTGTGTGATAATGTCAGCTTCTGCACTGTCAGTTAAACATGATTTAATGTGACCCAATTTTCACTCTTCATTATTAATGCAAAGTATGTATTAATAATGAAGAATCCAGAAATCTGATCCACCAAAAGAAACTTCTCCTCACCTACACACAATGATGATATTATTGCATCCAGCTAAATAAAACTTTTTTCTGTCCATTCTCATCTTCAGTTCTCGTATTACATAAATAATTATGTGTTTTCCTTCTTTCTCTTTTAGCTTGTTGCTAAGCTAAACCTAAAGGAAATGATATGTTAGGAAATGCAAAGGAGAACTAGGGTTAAAGGGAAAGGCACACTAGGCTCCGCCCTTTTTAGGGTGTAGCTTAGATAGAGGCTAACAAAGCAGATCACAAATTGTTCTTGGTTGCCATTTTGTCTTGCTTGATAATGTTAGCAGATTACTTAATGCAAAAGCAAAGCAACAAACTGGCATTTTTTGTTACAGATCGATGTCAATGACATCCAACTTTGGCACTACGGATGAAATATGACCTTTCAGAGCTTAGATTTAAGACTAAGAGATCAATTGAGCTTTGATTGGGTAATGGGAAGTATTACAGACAGGTCAGGGCAAGGCTAAAGAAATGAAAGAAAAAAATAATGCAAGACAACACAAAGACAGACACATATACTGTATATGTGTGCATGCGCATGTGTGTGCAAAACCATGCCATTATTAACAAGGCAGTAAGGTTGCTACACTTACGGGCCCACTGATGGTACCGGAAGCCAGTAAGTCTCCTGGTCTGACATTGCAGCCATTACTTGTGTGATGGGTGAGCTGTTGCTTCATTGTCCAGTACATGTACTTTAAATAAAGAGAGATACAAAAAGGGAAAAGGAAATTATTTCATTTAAATTACTGTATACTGTAAACTCCGCTCCTCTACTCCTGATTTTATTACAGCTGTAACACACATCTGTAACAACACTCACAGCTGTGAAAGCCTGCAGCTGTGAAAGCCTGCTTCATCATAATGATCTCTTCAGACAACATACCTTCACAGTCTCTTTCTGTAACAAAGCTTTGTTATTCTGCAACATGTTTAATAACGTGTATCTGATAACCATTTTTTGAAGCACTAAATTAAGTTTCACACCTTATTATCACAACATATGAGTGTATCATAAGGCAGATAATTCGATGACATATTACAACTTACAGCAATTACGGGGTCCAAAATGAGAAGTAAATATCTGCAGTCTTAACAAAGATGTTAACACCCAATATCAAGGCAAAGGCAATAGGCAAAAAAATAAGAGCAACAACAACCATTCAACAAGAACATCAGGTCTGTGAAATTATTTGCTGTAATCATATCAGTTGTTGAACCATCTGATTGATTTGGTCAAAAATGAGAAAGAAAGGTTGATAATCATGTGACTGTCTGTGTTGAGACTCGACTTTAAATGCCACAACGTCTTCTTGAGGTTTTGTTCAAATTCTTACTTTGAAATTTGAACTGCAGATGTTTACTGCCTCAGTCATGTTCTGACCTTGAGAGAGAAAAAACAGAATATTTTAGCATATATGACATAATGGTAGGGCATCAAGTATCACTTGTCAAACTCAAGCGCAGAGCTAACATTTCAGTTCTCCCAGAATGATTGAAGTTTGTATGTTCTGATTCTTCAGTCTAGCAACAAATTTCAATAAAGGAAAAGCAGCTGTATTGTGTGCGCAGCCATGGACTGTGTGCGGCAGCAACTGAGATTCACTTTAATAAATGAATGGACCACTCGGTTCAGTGCAACTCACATAGTGAGATGCAATGAGCTTAGTGTCCATGTCACTGGTAATGCTCTGATCAGGAATTTTTCTCTTCTTGATTGATTTAATGTGCATAAAGTCTGCATGTCTGGACCAAGTGGTCTGATGTGTGAAGTATGTCAAAATGACAGATGGCCTTCATATTTTTCCATCACTGTTTAAAGAAATCTTAAAAGGCAGAAAATATTTGGCCACAGTATAAATGTGGTTTATTCAACTTTTAAAAAAACAAAGCTCTCCCGTGAAAGTGTACCCATGTAAAAAGAAGATTCATAACAATATTATGAATATAAGACATCTATATATCAGTTAGAGGTAGCCCTGCAGAAAAAAAAACAAAACAAAATATTGTATGATAAAAATATACAATTAAAATTGAGAAATTGAGAAATTTTTTTCAGAAGCAACTACAAAGAAAAATTTCAATACGGTTTCAATTGAAACTTTGGATTGTTACACATTCAAACTTATTCATCATTGCTGACATTTCTTCTACCAACTTACTATTAAAAATATTATCCACAAACATAGCCTCATCATCCCCATAGCCTTCTAAACTAAAATTCATGTATTTTCCATTGTTGATGTAAATTTTTGTACTCAACATTTTTGATTTCTTGAAGTTTAGAGACAAGGTTTTTGCTGTGATGGTGCCGTTATCAAAGTACAGAGAAAATGTCTCCTGCTGTTGTAATTATTTATTTATTTTTGTTGAAGGTAGTTGGTTTTTTTGCCTAAACTTTTAATTTGCATGGCGTGTTTATACGTTCATTACAGTAATTGCAGATTGCTCAGTCGAGAGTAAACCATAGTGCTCACAATGTTGACAAAGTGACAATTTCCAGCTTTTTACTGCTTTTAAATTAAATTGTACCTTAAAAGCTTCATTACAGAATACAAAGAGAACCCCTGACCTAGACAAATGAGCAAGTCCCACTCTGAGCCAAAATCCACATTCAACTTTAACACCTGCTTCAGAAAAGAAAAATAAACAAGCAGCTGGAACTAAAAAAATGGACGAAGTGACCAGCCCGAGCCTCAACACATTCTGACTCTTTGGGAATTCCACTGAAAAACAGATTCGCTCCACTTCAACAGGAATCTTTGAAGGAAACCTTGCCTTCAAACATCAACAAAAGGTATGAGGCAAGATCAACACATCAACCCCCAAAATGAACACCAAGAAAATGAAAGAAATGGTTATTGTCAGAGATGAGACAGCAAATGGAACCAGACATTTTTGCAAGGCCAAGAAGATGAAAGTCATTTCTTTCACAATGACACAGTGTCTGAAGTAACAGAAAAAGTACTCTAACTACTCATGAGCCCAATATTGAGACTCTAGTTGTACATGTTGATAATCTGACAAAGCAAAATTCTGAAAATTTGAAAAAGGACTACTATTGAAAAATTAAAACTGAAGTTGTTTCTCAGTAGTCCAAGTCCATCAACTCGATGGAGGGACGAAGAATACTGCAGATCTTGACACCAACTCTATACAAAACTTAATGTGGAAAGCTTTTTTATTGACTTCAATGAACTTCTATCTAACAGTCATACTCAACAGTCATTCAGTATGACTGTTGAATATTTGTAGTACTGGGAGCTAATGTCAATGTGAGCTATGTTACTTTATCTGTTGATCCTTATATTTTCAGTGTCAAAACTCAGCAGGGTTTAAGAGTATTTTCACTCCATGAAAATGATCTCTCTGCTGTGGTTCTTACGTCTGTTCATTGATTGGACATAGATCATTCTTCCTTCTGTAAATTAGTGAAAACTGATTATTTCTTTTTATAAGAAGAATTACTCTATTGTGAGCACTATAAAAAATAACCCTGTATTTTATCCCTCTTTCCTCATCATATTCTGTATTGGTATTTTCTGTAAATTTCTCTTGTAACAATAACAGCCACACTTTCCTTCACCCCGCTTTTGACAATAATCTCAACCAACTCCCCTGCCCTCTCTGACAATTGAACTGGTGGTGGGAAATCTTGCAGCCGGCGGCAGAAAATTTCCCTTATTTTTAAGGTATGATTATGTCTGTTTGATTTGTCCTTAGATAAGCCAATATTTGTGCCTTTTGGCCGGATTTCCACATCCATTATTATTCCAAGATGTGAATGTTATTATTATAGTCATTACCGATTAAACCTGGAACAGAACATTTGGAGTGAATGTATATCCTTGCCAACCGAACCAAAACCTTCAGTGCACCCAGCAAAAAAAAAGACAATTTAAAAGAGCAATGAACATGCCCGTCATGGAAACAAAAAACCTATGAATTTTATATGATTTCTTTTTTTATTATAATTGGACAGCACATTAGAAAAGCAATTAAAATTACGATTTACAATTTCTTTGTTTCTTATGAAAAATTTAAGAATCCTGCATTGGGTGTTGATTGTTTCAAGTGTAGACATGGTTATCTAAAAATATTTGAGGAATTTTATGATATGAAAGAAGTCATAGTCTCTGATGAATATGTATGTAAACTTCTGAAATAAAAAATGGCAAAAAAGAAAAAATGTGTTCATTAACTTCTCTACAATTTATGAACAGAAATAATTTTAATTGTAATTAATTTAACACAAGAGAAGATTGGTCTCATTTAACTTCAGACTGTGAGAAAAAAATAAAAACATTTTCTGCACGTAAACTTGTGGTTTCAACTGTAGATGGTTGTATATGACAGATAAAAACTCTTTCGTCTGCAGTTCAATGTACACCAATTTTTCTCAAGTTTCTTGTGTGTGTCTGGATGTGTACAGTACCCTTGAGTGAGACAAACAGGTTAATGTTGAAGGTATACGCATCTTCATGTTGTAGGTATGGGAGAGGTGGGGGATCCTGTAAAATAAGTCACAACACTCAAGCACAAATGAAATTACTTTTTATCAAATTAATAAAGTAAACAAAAAATGAACAAAATAAAATATGTTTGTTGCAGGTCAGTTAATTTATTCAGTGTAGGATGGCAGGACAAAGTGAAAATTTTGGGGGAGAGCTGTTACTCCATCGTTATTTACCAAAGAGAAGAGATATTATTATCGAAAAGTTAAACATAGATATACACAGGATGATCTAGAGCACACTAAACCACACATTGATGGACTTAGCTCACTATTCACTATTCGAAATTAGTTTAAGAAGGCCTTTCATATGATATATCATTTCACTTATTATGCTTTGATTCTGAGCAGGGCTGGCCCATGGTGTTATTGGACCTTAAAGGGATCCTAGATTAGTTGACAGTATATTAGTTGCCTAAATATAGGCCAACATATCGCAAACAGCAATTTTTTTAGTTAATAGGAAAAATGTTAAACAAAAAAATTGCTGTTTGTGATATGCCAATGCTCATAATTACTTCAAAAAATGTAAATCTTTTATTATATTTTTCATCCCTGGAGGTCGCCATTTTTTCACCTGCTGGGTTGATGATGCAATTCTGTACAGGAATCTACAAAGTAAACACAGAAAGGCTAACTTTCCCTGAGTTGTTGTTCAACATAATGAGTTTGACTGGTGAAATTTTAAATAATGCCACACATAGATGGACTCTTGCACACTGTCGGCTGTAATTTAAAAGGAAAAGAAAAACAGTGAGGTGAGTCACATCCTTTTGTTCTCAAAATTGGTTATGTTTGCATTCAAAACTTTCAAATCTTCTCTGTGCTCTCTCAAATCTTTATGGTTAAACTCAGAGATCTTCCTCACGCAAAACTTCTCTCTCCACAGATGAACTCTGCACTCAAAGTTCCTTGCTTGCTTGCAAATTTTTTTCTGCATTTTCAGCACTGCAGCCAGTCATCAGTTCAACAGCATGTCTTCACCTAATAGTCAGAGCAAAGCAGACCCATGTCACTCTATGTCAACACTGCAAATACATCACACATTTGTAACGCTGAGTGCCGCTGTCAAGCAATGCTGGCAGGTTGCCATGGCAACCTTAACTACATCAAATTCTGACTCGCCATTGGGTGGCAGAGGTGTGGAGGGAGCGCTCTGCTTTATATCTACATCGGGCTGCTGCACTGCTGAAAACTCAACTGTAGAAGAAAGAAAGCTAGTCGTGAGATCCTTTTAGGCAAAATAATGCAGAGCTAAATTGTATAAACATGTCTACATTTGCACAGAAACAAAGAGAAAGGACACTATTAGATACAAAGTAGTGTTCTTAATTTCATAAAAACTTTTTTGTTTACCAACAAAAAAACTGTTGATTTGGATGATACTTTCACTTTAAGTTCTACCACGGAGCAGAAAGCTGACATTGTTTCTCCCGGCATCAGTGGGTGGTGCAGAAAAGTAGGGTTAGCAATTGTGCTTGTACAATTGACAGTAGCCACACCAACTAGAAGGAAACCAACATACTTTGCTTGCAGAGTTAATCCGTGCAAAAAGAAATCTTGCCTGAGAAAGATCTCTGAGTGTCAGCACAAACATTTGAGAACACAGAATACTTCAAAGTTTTGAACACAAGTATTACAAGTTTTGAGAACAAAGAAATTAAGCTCTTCTTTCAAAGTGAAAATATGTGCTTTTGACTTGTGGCAGTAAAACTCCCCAGACCAAACTCCAGAACGGTTGTTACTGGATCGTACACAAAGCTACAGATGCTGGGAGAAACATCAGAGACAGACAGGAAACCCTGGAACAGAGCTACAGCTACTGCCAACAGTACTGCGTCAGTAGTGCCGGTGAAACTACTTCTGCCCTGTGTTAGGTTCAGAATTTGGACAAAGACTGGACCCTAAACAACTGTTACTGGACCAGAAACTGAGCTGCAGACACGAGGAGAAAGATGAGAGATAAGCAGTGCTGGGATTTCTTTTATATGATGACGGAGTTATTGCGCCTGCCGACCAAAGGCACGTATCATTCATTGTTTCATTTATGAACCTGGAGGTGGTGGCAGCAGCAGCAAAACATCATCTTAAGCCAACTCTGTCCTCTTCCTCATCTTCATCACCTCTTGTGATTTCTACATTCCCATCAATTTGAACGTGCTTCAGTTCAACCTGAAAAGGCTTACAAACGTCACACAAAAATGACTTTCTGTAGTCCAAGTAGACAATGACATTGTCTTTAGAATGTTGCAACATTTGTACAAACCTGCAAGGGATTAGACTCTGCAAAAGGTAAAAGTGCTTCCATTGGCACAACCCAGGGTGAGATTGTCGTCCCAAAATTCTTTCCCAGGAAAGGTCCAAGTGGAACATACTCCCAAGCTTGAATATCTCTCGCTGCAGATACACAAAAAGCAACATTATCATTAAGTAGATAGTTGGTTCAAAGAATTGTAAAGGACTGCCAAAGGAATAAAAAGTAATAATGCTCATAAAAAATTCTCATGTGTGCCTACTTTTTAAAATCAACTTTTTAGCCAAAAAATATATTCCACAGAATACAAAAGAACAGAATATACTTTCCTAAGGGGAAATTACTTACTGCTCTACACAAGGTGTTACATATTAGTAATACAAGTACTATACGTGACCATACGTGACTATACGTGGCAGGGTGTAAATCAAACAGGTTTTGATGGCGGACGGTGCGGAGTCCGGCTCGGGCGCTTCCTTCTCCATTCCTCCCCGAACTAAACCGCAGATCTACAAAACCACTGATGGAAAACTTATAGTAGAGGATGAGTTTTTAAATTTTCTTGTGGTCAAAATCAAGACTATGTGTCAGGAAGAGCTTGTGCTGCTTGCATCAAACACATTTGACTTTGAGTGGATTGAGTCCTCTAGAAAAGTACTGTTTGAACTGTGTTCCAACTCTAAGCAGCGATACACGGCCTTCAAAGGAAACCAGAAAGCTGCAAATGCCATAAAAAGCTGTTTAAAAGTTCTGAATGAGTGTGGGGAAGCTATTCCACGCTTTGTCTCTCACTTCCTGGATGAGCTGCCACCTGTGACGTTCAACAGCCTAGACGTCTCCAACTTACTCAGCAAGATAGAGCGCTTGCAGAGCGAGGTTTGTGCCCTAAAGCATACAGTATCACGCCAAGTGGATGTTGAAGAGAAGTTGCGTGAAGTTACCGCTACCATTGACCGCAGAGTTGCTGCAATGGAACGGTATTTGGTGTCTGGCGGTGGAGGATCCAGCAGTGTCGATGCGCCTGCTCTAGGAATGCCCAACGCTGGAGACATGAAATTGGCTGTGAACGTTTCTGAGGAGGTGGTGGCATGCATGGATTCTGTTGCAACAAACTATGTTACCGCCGATAATGCGGCTTTGCCCGTGAATGGGACCTACACCAACTGTTCCAGGACTACTGACGAGCCTGTTGCGGTGAGTGATAAGCTAAGCTCTGCTGTAGATGAGCCTGCCAGCTCACCCACATGGAACTTGGTGGTGAAACAAGGCCGACGTAAGAGAACCGAGAGCCATCCAGCTCATCAAAATCGCCAAACTAAACCTGAGCGCAAAAGACCAGCGCCTATTATTGGCACTGGCGCACAAAGCACCATAAAAGTGGTAAAAACGAAGCTTGCCACTATATTTGCAACTAGATTTGTGCCAGATCTAGATGACGAGACACTAACGAACTACCTTAAAGAAAAGCTTGGGCATGATGTTGAGTGCCGGCGTATTGTCACTGGGAACACAAGATATAGTTCTTTTAAAGTCAGTGTGGAGTGTCAGAACGTTGCAGAAGTGTATAACCCAGAGCTGTGGCCAGAGGGTGCGGTGGTGCGCCGCTACTATGAGCCACGGAATAAACCTACAACGTCTGAAGGACCTGGGGTGAGCACCTCTAGTGATTCCAGAAGGATCGATGGGATGGCTGCAGTTACTTTCTCATAGACCAATTCATGCGTGTTATTTCTTACAATTGCCGGGGACTGCGTGTCGGTAATACAGCTGGAGATAAAGCACGACGTCTGGTTGTGGATAAACTGTTGCAAGAATGTGACGTTCTTTGTTTACAAGAGACTTTTTTATCAAAACAAGACTTGGGAAGTTTGAACTGTATTAATGATTGTTTCTGTGGAGCTGGTGAATCTACTGTGGATCTTTCTATGGGTATAGTGAGGGGTCGAATCGCAGGAGGAGTAGCCATTCTATGGCACAAAAAGCTGGATCCAGTTTTAAATGTCATCAGAACCGGTGTTGACTGGTGTATTGCTGTTCATTTTAAAATCGAAAACAAAGAATTTATCATTATTAATGTCTATACACCATATGAGTGTCCTCAGAATGAAGACATTTATTTGAATAGACTTGCTTTCTTGAGCTCTTTTATTGATGTCCATTGTTTTACCTCTGTGTATGTAGTAGGTGATATGAATGCAGATATATCTGATGAACATTCCTCATTTGCCAAACATATGCATCAGTTTTGTGATGATAATAGTTTATTATTGTCCAGTCAGCTCCTGCTACCTGCAGAAAGCTATACATATATAAGTGAAGCTTGGCATACAACGTCATGGCTTGACCATTGCATTAGCTCTGCTGATGCCCATACTGTTGTAAAATCATTAGAAATCCTATATGAGTATTCAATGTCGGATCATGTCCCATTTTTAATGATGTTGGATATTAAAAATCTCCCAGAGTTTATACGGGGGGCAAATAGTGCTCCTACAGTTAAAATTAACTGGTCCACACTTTCTAAAGATGACTTACTCGTATATCGTATGAAAACTGATCTTCTTTTGAGTAAAATAAATCTTCCTCTTCCAGCTATTACGTGCTCAGATGTTAATTGCAGTGATATTTCTCACTGTACTGACCTCCATACTATGTATGATGGCATTGTGGATGCTTTGTACCAGAGCACAAGACCATACCTTACATACAGAAGGACTAATAGCATCAGGCCAGGCTGGAAAAACATGTGTCAGGATGCCGTGCAGAAGCTAAACAGGCATATAAAATGTGGGTACAGGCAGGTAAACCAAGACATGGGACTATCTTAGATTATAAAAAACTCACCAGTGCAAAGTTTAAATATGCCATTCGATACATCTCCAAATGTGAACAGAATATGAGAGCAGACTCCATGGCTGAAAAACTGCTTTGTAATGACACCACTGGCTTTTGGAATGATGTTAGAGCCTTAAACAGGTCTGCTGCATTACTCCCCAATACCATAGAGGGCATATCTGGGGCTCATAATATAGCTGATCTATGGAGACAGCACTATTCTGCCTTATTTAACTGTGTACAAAATGAACCCTATGGACTGGGAAACATTGCTAAGAATGATGTGGTTATAACCCCTAGTGAAATTCAGCAGGCTATAGTAAATTTGTGTGAGAATAAAGCAACAGGTTCTGATGGCATTGCAGCAGAACATTTGAAATATGCTAGCCAAAAAGTGTCTGTGCTGCTTGCAATGTGTTTTTCTGGGTTTATGACCCATGGGCAGTTGCCTGATTCCTTACTATCTGTTACCCTTGTGCCAGTAATTAAGGACAAAACTAATAAGGTTGGCAGCCTTGATAACTACAGACCCATAGCTTTGGCTAGTGTGTTATCTAAAGTATTAGAAAAAATTTTGCTTGGTCGGCTTAATCAGTTTATTAGAACAACAGATAATCAATTTGGTTTTAAAGCCAAGCTGGGAACGGATTTCTGTATTTACGGCCTGAAAGAAGCTGTAAGAACATACTTAAGGAAAAATTCATCTGTGTTAATTGGGTTTATTGATGCCTCGAAGGCCTTTGATCGTGTTAACCACAATAAGTTATTTGACAAATTAAAAAAAAGAGGTGTTTCAGATATTATTATACGAATTTTAGTTTACTGGTACTCTAACCAGAAAATGCATGTAAAATGGGGAGATAACATCTCTGCTTCCTTTGGTGTTAGTAATGGTGTGCGGCAGGGTGGGCTTCTTTCACCTGCCCTGTTTAACTTGTATATGGATGACCTATCAAAAGAAATGAACCTCTGTAAAACCGGGTGTATGATTGGTGATACTTGGTCAATCACTTCATGTATGCTGATGACCTGGCTGTTCTCTCACCCAGTAGTGCTGGTTTTCAGCAGTTATTGAATATCTGCTCTGATTATGGGTTGAGATTTGATGTGCAGTATAATGCTAAGAAAACTGTTGTACTAGTTTGTAGAACTAAAGATGACAAAACAACTCTGTTTCCCTGATTTTTTCTATCAGGGCAAAAGTTAGATGTTTGTTCCAAAAAACTAAGTATCTGGGTCACTACATCACAGACCAGCTCTCTGATGATGATGACATCTATAGGCAGTGTCGCATGTTATACGCCCAGGCAAACGTTTTGGGGAGGAAATTTCATATGTGCTCTGATGAGGTAAAAATAAGCCTGTTTAAAGCTTACTGTACATCCTTGTATACAGCTCCTTTGTGGTGCAAATTTAAAAAAACTAGTATGCAGAAGCTTAAGGTTGCTTATAATGACTCTTTGAGAATTTTGATCAAGAAACCCAGGTTCAGCAGTGCAAGTCAAATGTTCTGTAACGCACATGTCAGAACATTTCAGGCCCTTTTGAGAAATCTGATATACAAGTTTATGTGTCGTTTGGGTAACTCACCGAACAATCTTCTTGTAATGTTCTCACAGCCTTCTGTTAGTGCGCTAAGATACCAGTCGGCTCTTTGGAAACATTGGTATACAAGTCTTCTATAAGATTTATATTTATATTTTTTATGACTACTTATTGTATTTTATTTTTCATTTTCTCTTGTTTTTTATGTTGTGTTGTTGTGTATCTTGTGGACCATGAGTCTGTTGAATAAAGTAAATTCAATCAATCAAATTTTATTTGTGTATCATGTTTCAGTAGCAAGGCATTTCAAAGTGCTTTACACCATAACAAACACAAAAACATAAAGTTATGAAACATAGAATCAACAATCAAAACATGATTAAATCATCATTAAATTTATAATCCATTTAATTTCAAATACAATTCTGAACAGGTGTGTTTTTCGTCTAGATTTAAAGGAAGTCTGTGTTTCAGCTGTTTTACAGTTTTCTGGAAGTTTGTTCCAAAGTTTTGGTGCATAGATGCTGAAAGCTGCTTCTCCTCTCTTGGTTCTGGATATGATATGGGGATGCAGAGCAGAACCAGAACCAGAACCAGAACCTGAGAGTCTGGAAGGTTGATACAACAACAGCAGATCTTTGATGTATTGTGGTGCTAAACCGTTCAGTGATTTATAAACTAACAACAATATTTTAAAGTCTATTCTTTGAGCTACAGGGAGCCAGTGGAGGGACTTTAAAACTGCTGTTATGTCTCTATCTTCCTGGTTCTAGTGAGAACAGGAGCAGCAGCTTCTGGATCAGCTTTGATTGATTTGTTGGACAGGCCTGTGAAGACGCTGCTGCAATAATCAATGTGTAGGATTATTACCTATGAAGGCAATAATCCTTCGTAGGCCGATTTGTAAGCGACCTACGAAGGATGCAGCCCTTGAATTTAGACACAGCTAGAGTCCATAATATAGGGTCTAAGTGGCGCTGCTTTTGGGGTGTTTGTGTGTCTGGACAGAAGACATGTCTGAGGAATGTTTGTTGGCCATCTATGGTGGAAGCATTGTAAAATGGCAGAAAAATACAATGTGACTGCAGAAGGAACCCTCCAAGTGCCATCAAATTCTTACTTCTTCTCATTCACAGTCTTGTTAAAGTAATTTTTCATGGCAGGCCACCACTATATTTATGTGGTAATTCCTGTAAATAAAAGAAAAATATTTCGTCTTGCAGGCATGTTGTGTGTGATTTCTCTCTCTGCAGAACTAATTTGGGATTAGTATGGATTCAGAGATAATAGGAAGGCACACAGTTGGGGGCTGAAGGAATCTGGATGAGAACCAGTATTTTTATTATTTTTTAATACCCATGTAAATGCAGAAATTTCTTCAAGAAAACTTAAAACACATACATAAAGTGCCTGCTTATAATAGCTTTTAAGCAGGCACATATAGTTCTTTGTCAGCAGCGGTGTAAGTTTAATCATTCCATTGTGCATTAGCCCATCAAAGGGCTTCATTGGAAGTAATTCAGTTTTCTTTGATTTAAAAGTAAGTCAGCAAGTTTCAATTCAAATCATTCTGGATAATTAGATTTTTGTGTACTATATTTTGTTAGATGACTACTCATCAAACAAAATGTATTAGATGTGACTTATTATTGATATGATGAGTCATTACAATAAGAAATTTCTTACCGCTCCAGTCATTCATAAGTACCATCCCAAAGATATGTTCATGGGCTTTGTTAATGGGAATAGGCTCCCCCAGCTGACTTTCTCCACCAACAAAGAATGCCTGTTAACAAAAAAAAGGAAGTTCCAGGGTTATGGAAACTTCCTTTATCAAAGAATGAGAATCTGTTTCAGTGATAAGAGAAAAATAAATCTTTGTCTTTAAATTTCTGTATTCGAAGGCAAAAGCGTTCAAAGGCCCATCTCACCGAATGCAGTCAGGAGAAGACACATTATATAGTTATATAGCTGCAGCAAAAGTCTGATCTTATCTCTATTGCCAGATAGACCACAATGACAATCCTTACCCCCAACTCATGAACTGCCCCTCACCTCTTTGGAGCCAACGGTTTTATGGCAGGACAGAGAGCTGATAAGGATTTCAACAGTAGCTTCTAGTTCTTCACCCAGAGTTGCAGGGTCAAACGGAAATACCAACAATGCATTCTACACATACCAGGTTTATAAGACAACTGGCAGATCAGCAGTTGTCTTATAACTGCCTGACCTGGGGTTATTTCATCAAAGATGAAATAAGGTTAAAAATGAGATTTTCTACTACATCAGCAACCATGACACTGATGCATGTTAACATGCATTAAAATATACCATCACAAGAAAGAAGGATAACCTTTCTCCAGTCAACAGTTTGAGTCTTCACATATCACTCTACTCTGTATTCTGTCTTTGGTTCATAGAATGAACAGCATAATTACCATCTCAAGCTCAAGGTCCAGTTGCTTGGAAGGGCCAAAGATTGGAGGTTTCGCTGAAAGGCAAAAGGTAAATGTTGTTACATTAAGCATAATAAGTCAGAATTTTTTTCAAAATACATCTTTCTTTACGCCACAATGTTTAGGACAAAGATTTTATTTGTATTTCAGCTACCTGTCACGCTCATAGCATACTGCTTGAGCATGACAGGTAGAGCTGCTACTGCTTCTGCAGCTCAGGAGCTGCAGCTCATGCTCTCATTTTTATAAAAAATATATATTTTTTTACATATTTATTAAAATATAAGCAGCTACTCTACCTCCTCCCATTGGTTCTCCTGCTTTCTGAAATACATTGCTCCAGCTCATAAATACATCCAGGAGGATGTTCCCCACACAGAATGTACAAGCTCAAGAGTACCGGTTTACTGCCGCTGTGGTAGTGATGAAGAAACAACATAAAGCTATGTGAATAAGCATTGGTGGCAAAAGCTTTGATGGCCATGCTTCACATTCCTGGCAGGCTCCAATGTTAGGGAGGAGGTGAGAGCAAGACAAAGTGTGAGTTGGAGATACACAAAAAAAAAAAAAAAAAAAATATATATATATATATATATATATATATATATATTTGTTGTTGTGACAGTCATATCTTCTGCATTCAGGGCAGCAGCCTCAAAACCAGGGACCAAAAATGGCTGAACATCCTGTTAAAGAAGGGTGGTCCTTTTCTGGGTACGACTGTGGAGCATCTGAAGATGATGATGCAGAGGACTATTCATAAAACCAAGAAAATGATGGACAACCCTGACCATCCTCTTCATGAGACCGTCTTGGGGAAAACAGAGTTTCTTCAGTCAAACACTTCTTCGGATTTACGTAATACATACCACTACAAGAGATCTTTCCTGCCAACAGCTAAATTACCTACAATAACTCATATGAATTAATATGAATTATAACAATATTTAACTTCCGTTTGGATCACTAAAGTAATTTAGTATTTTAATTTGAGTAGCAGAGAACTATGTTACAGTGGTGCAGGATGTGTTGTGTATGAGAGCTGTAAGACTCTCTGAGGAATGGCAGGAAGGATGAAAGATGATGGTGTGACCTGCAATGATGTTTGCTTTAGAGACTGTGGCAATGACAAAGAGGCAAGATGCAGAGTTGTAGGTAGCAGAGGAGAACTTGTCACTCCAAGGAGAACCTCAATAAGAATCGATAAGATCAGAAATGAATACATCCGAGTAACAGCTCATGCAAGATGCCTGGGAGATAAAGCCTGACAAGCCAAACTGAGACAGATCCCCTCAAGGGAAAAGCCAAGAGGAAAAAAAGAAGTCACTCTGATAAGGAAGTATAGGTAGTCTCTACTATGTCAAAATATCTTCAAGTTGGTTTTATGCTCTACTCAGGTCACTAGTTAAACTTATATTTTTTGGTATGAAGAGAAGAAGATATGAAACAGGATTTGAAAACCCATCTTCAAAATAGGTTTGTCTGTCTCAATTAATGAGTAACACGAAAATGCGTGATTGAATTAAAAAGGACATTAACACTGAGACCCAACACTAGCAAACAGGAGATTAGAAGGTTACTTTGATCAGGCCTCATCTGGCCACACGGGCGGCGAATCGGGGTTCCAGACACAACCAGTGATGACGCTCTGCCATGGTATCCCACTGGAAGCCTCAACCTGCCAAACATCATTACCCAGTTTTGAACAACAAAATCACACAAACAACAATTTGGGTTGTCTTTTGCACAAACTGGAAAACTGATGACTGGAACTTTCTATTGATTGACTTAAACTTGGTAAAAAGTTTTATATCAAATGTTTCAACAGCAATAAAAAGTGATAATCACATTAAACCATAACAATGTTATTTATTGCTGTTTCTAATTTAGTAAATTGAAAACACGCCACCCTCAATTATCAAGCTCTCTTTATCTTGAAAATCATGTGTAAGCATAAAAATCCTTCAACAACATAAATTAATTTGTTTCACATGAGCATGATGAGATCTGCAGGATTATATTTAGGCTGACTCCTCAAATATTGTTCATGAAATTGTATTATTAATGTGGTTTGTTGCTGTAGATTTTAGCATGGCATGTACCAGTTTGGCATCAAAGCGTTCTCCTTTCCTCGAAACATGATGCCGACATTAGTGGCGTGATCCCTGGAGGAGTAGAAATCGGTGTAATCGCCTGTGGAACACACAGAAGTGGATTTTTATTTTTAATTCATTTGTAAAATCTTTCCAAATTCTCATTTTCCAACTTTTAACACTTAGGCTTAAAACGTCTTTTTCCTTTTCAAGTTTGCAATGATTCTGCAAAAAGACAAAATGACCAATTTTCTCATGCTCTCATTCTACTCCTCTATGATTTGCATTATTTGCTGCTATTTCAACTGTTAAAGTTTTGTTTTCTTTCAGTTATTTTTCTTTCCATAGAAGCTACACCTAGTCTGGCATTCTGTTTAGCTGGGCATCAGCTGATATAATGTTGTCATCAGCAAATTGTTCTCCCTTTTCTAAAATCATTTTTTAAAAGGAAAGTATTGAAATAATTTTACTTTCACTCTACTGAACACGTGTGATTACACCGAATTTTCTGTTTTCAACAAGTCACATATCTCCAACAATGACTTAGGAAATCAAAAATACCTTACACTGTACATTTAAAGAATTGGGCATACTGTCCCAGTTCTCACATTTTGCACGCTTGTAAACCTGGGCACTCAAATCCACACCTCACAGAGGGGCGTTGCATGCGCATTGATCTTTGGGCCAAAGAAGCTGGCTTTTATACCTGGAGCAAATTCATTATTCATACTAAGTAAAGTGCTTGTCAGAAACAAAACAAGAAATAAATATTATTTACACAAATCTAACGCAAAACAATAAATAATACCAATATTTACATACATGCAAATCATTAGAACCAAACTAATATAAAATCAATCAAGGAATAAATTTAAGTCAACTGTATGTCCAAAGAGTACAACTCCTCTTAATCAACACAATATGCTCCAGGAGGTTTTCAGTAGCATCTGGCGCATTTGTTTCCCTTTGCTGCTCTACCTTGCTGAAGAGACACACCAGGAAAGGTAAGCACTCAATCATCAAACTCAAATTAAACCCATAAAAGTTATTAGAAACAAAGTGACATTTTCCCCCACATTCTCCCTGAACAGGAACGATAGCTAGTTTCCCTACCTGAAAAAATGTTCAACTAAATGCCACAATGCAACTACAATAAATAACTGAAACAGAAAACCGGAGACTGTAAATATACTGAACAACATAATATTAACATTCCTTTATTAGTAATGAAACCCTTGGTCTCCATCACAATGATAAACTGAATTGGATTGAATTTAGTCATAAATTCAACCAATTTATGACTAAGAGTGTAAAGCATAGAGATCAATGTAAAACATTTAGGAATAAAACTGTAACATTCTGAATACTTCCTGTATTCAGTATGGAATACTGAATATATGATCTAATATGTAGTGCTCATATTGGATTGTGTTAAAACTGATCTAACTTTATCAAGTACATTGCTAATGTGAAGAGAGAGGTAGAGTTACCTCTCTGACCCAACTGAAGATGTTATTTTATCTACTGTTCATGCCATCAAACAGGAACAGATCTACAAATATAAGCCATTGTTTCTCAATGAGACATTTTGCTGTTGAGGTGACAACAAGAAGGTGAAATATGTTTGTGCAGATGTATGCAGTTTGTTGAAGGTTTAAAAAAATTAATTAATTTTTATTTAAAAAAGCAAATACTCACCAACATCTGCAGGAAGGTGCATCACGGCTTCACTCTGACTGACAAATGCCCTGCAGAAAGCAACAGACAAATTCAAATAAAACTTATTATCTGTGGAGAAATTTTATGCATAGAAAAGTTCTGAGTCCAATAAAACCTAATAAATGATGTCATTTGAACAAGGGACTGTGCAACATGAATATTTAAACAGTTATGTGAATGCAAGATTGACAAGTCCAGGTACTCTTAATTGGTGAACTGATTGAGAACTTAAGAGGGTCACTTATTAGTTTGCAAGTTGTAGTTTTGAGGATTATTTTTATTTAACTGCAGCGCTCTCGGTCAATCCAGAATGTTAATAATCTTTTAATATCTTTCAAAGATTGATCAATAACCGTTGGTCAATCCAAAGATTTTGGCTTTCTTAGTGTGCATTATTATTGTGATTATTGGGCAACTATTAGGGTGCAGAAATATTATGCAACTGAATTGAAATTGAACATTTTCACATCTCACTTCCTTATCATCTTCTGATGAAGCAGTGAGCCGGTGGTCAGTCCTTGCAAAGTTCAGAGCATGATAGTCAAAACTGAATAAATGGATGGTTGTGACAGAACAAAGAAATGGTTTGGAGTCGATTGATACACGGACTAATAAGATTCCCTGAGTTAACCCAGTGCAGCCCTCCACCACCGTTATTTAGCCATGTTTTACAATAATAAAACATGTTTATTATTGTTAAGTATTTGGTGCAAAAAACTGATTGAAAATCGTTTTATTCACTACAAGTTTATGTCTGTTAAGATTGAGACGGAGCTTCATATGAAAACGACCTTTAAACCATTCCGAGAACCAGCACAACAATCACAACTGTCAGATGACTGATTACCCCATGATAATAACGCAGAAATAATCCAAATTAGGATTTCTTTTTATTTCTTTCCTACTTAGGGAATGTTTATGTTTATATCAAAGGTTTTTGGTGCCTTTCTATCCAAAAGAAAATATATAAAACTTCAGATATTTCACAACGAGGTAATATCTGGTAACACAGAACATGACAAAACCTCTCGTTGTCATGTTCTGTGTTTTTCTGTGTTGATTCTTAGTTTCTGTGTCCTGAGTTCCCTTCGTTGTCCTGTCTTCCCCTTGATTCTTCCCAGGTGTGTCTTGATTACCCTCAGTGTATTTAGTCCCTCCTGTGTCGGAGGGACTAAATACGTCGGGTCCTCGTCGTATTTTTGTCATTGTCGTACGTTGTCTTGTTACTCTTGTCTTTTGACAAGAGACCAGTTGCTATGAGACCAGTTGCTACCGGTGTGAGCCGTGCTGCCTGGCCGCGGACTGATTTACTGATGTTTTTGGACAGTTTTTTCATCATTAAATCTACACTATTCACTTTACCTGGATCTCCAGCGTCTGCCTCACCACCTCCAATACGTCACTTTATGACACTCATACCCTTATATTAAAGCAGAAACCACGACGGCCATCATAAGAAAGGCTTACAGTATTCAATTATGCTGCATGAACTGATCAGCACAGTATTGCGAGGTAATGCAAAGAAAACAAATTCCCCATGTCCTCTGGAGGGCTCTGTAGGATTCAGGTCCAATCTAGGTCAACCATTTTCAACATCATCCATTAGGAGGGAAAAGAAAGAAGATTGACCATCAAGCTAAGGAAATATTTAACTTTTGCCTTTCTAGACTTTAACATCAACACCCTTTATGTCTGTAATTATTCTTTATTTGTTTTTATTCTAATATTTTAATATTTGACTTTGATTTAACACCTATATGTATGTTCATGTTATTTGTTTGAAATAAAGTAAAAAAAAAACAAAAGTTTAAAGAAAACTGTGTCGTTTCCTGATCAAAACAAAACAAATGTGAACGTTATGAACTGTAAACAGTTCTGATGTCATGCAAACTCTAATTCCTTGTTCATGTAATGGTCTGCATATTTGGGTTATTGGTCTCTCTAAATGTATGTGTGTGCGTGCGCATAGTCGTTTGTCCTGTCTGTCTGTGTGTTGCCCTATGACAGACTGGCGACCTGACCAGGGTGACCCACACCTCTGGCCTGGAACTCCAGCACCTCTCCAGGAAGGGGTCCTAAAAAGCCACACCCACAGAAACATGTCTCTCCCAGCTGCCACCACCGGTTAATTTAGCCACCAGTTAGTCCACAACACACATATAACACTGTGCACAAAGCTAGCAGTTACAGTATGAAATGAAATTTTGTTGTTATAGTGTGTTTGCTAGTCTCAATATTGACTTTTTTTCCCTCTGTGAGCATTTGAAGATTTCTGTGTTGGGAGCTGCAGCTGCTGTGTCCACAGATTTGTGCCTTTCATTGCAGTTTTAAAGGGTACATTAGACGTTCAGTGATCAGACTTCTGCCTCTCGAGTTTGTGTACCATTCTGGCGACCATTTAGAACCTGCTACATATGCTGTAAAAGAACAAAGACAGATTGCATTCAGACTGACCTGCTCCGAAGACTGACATTATCTCTCAGACTACTCTCATTGTCTGACAGAAGATTTTGCAGCGTCCTCCGCGCCTCACTCCAGGCTCCATAACCAAGACTCATGAAAGCGTTTAGTGTAGGCTTGAAAAATAGAACATAGTGAAATATTAGGGTTTGAATGAATTCAGATACTAGGACCATTAAGATCACAATCAAATAAGTTTTATTTGGTTATTTTATCTGGACTGCTCTGCCATGCAAAGGAATATTGGCAGGGTCTCATTCTGCAGTTCACTTATCAGCTCTTAACTTGTATAGCATAAAAATCTAGTGCAATGCGTTAGAACCAGGTGTTGAAATTATACTGAAATTAAATTTTGTTGTTCCATAAAAATATTATAGCCACAGATAAAATGTTCAGATACTTTAAATGAGTAGTTAGATGAATGTATTGCATGAAGTTGTTAGTTCTAACCCTTCTTTCATGTAACTGATTAATTGAAGGTTGTAGCTAGAAGTAAAAAACAAGCCTGAAAATAAACTTTACCTGGTCAAAAACATGGCAGTGTTTGGACATTACAGGTCCTATAAACAGAGATCTTATCACACTGAGGTCAAGGATTTGGTCTCCAATTGCAACACCGATGCGATGTCTGGGCTGGTGAATAGAACAAATAGAAAGCAAATCACATTTTTTGTGTAGCACATTTCTGCAACAAGGCATTTCAAAGTGCTTTATATTATGAAAGCACAAAAATACAAAGTCATAGAACACAGAGTCAATTGAAACATTGCATTTTGCCATCATTACAAATCAGATTGTTTATTAATATTTCACTGATTATGTTTCAAAACCAACTCCAAACAGGTGGGTTTTTGGTCTAGATTTAAAGGCACTCAGTTTTTCAGCTGTTTTGCAGTTATCTGGAAGTTCATTCCAGATTTGTGGCACATAGCAGCTTAAAGCTGCTTCTTCATGTTTGATTCTGGATGCAGAGCAGAAGACCATAGAGGTCTCTGGAAGGTTGTTACAATAACAGCAGATCTTTAATGTGCTGTGGTGCTAAGCCAGTGTTTCTCAACCTCTTTTGGGCCAGCACCCTGTCCATTATCCTGGTCCCTTTCCGCACCCCACTAAAGAAATTACAGGTCACTTTGCACTGAATATTATTTTGTTATTAATTTTACTATCACTATTTTTGATGTTTTGATTTTTATTCTTGTTTTTGTCTTCATTATCAAAAGTAATTTTCCAGAGAACAAAAAACCATGTGAACAGAAGTTATTTTTACAGGCGTCTACGAAAAATGCAATGGACATTCAACTTTAAAATCGGTAGGCCTAACAGCAGCCAATCAGAGTGGAAAAAATATTCCTGTTCTGTGCAATTTTCTACATCTTGCACAAAATGGCCAGATAAAAGATGTACAGCAATGGCAGTTTGAACTTTGATCTATTAGCAAAACCACAGTGCTCTGCAACATTAAAACATGGATATAAATGCAACTGTATTAATCATAACTCTTCTCTTCAGTGTTTCTGTGAGTTCCTGGTTTAGCAACTCTGTGCTGCATTCAGGAGAATATGGAAGTCAGAGTATCATCCATAAGATTTCACCAACATGGCATAACTGTGCAACAGAACTTTGAACTTCTTGCCGTACAGTACTCTTATTGCTTGAAAGAGCTTGCCATACTAGCTTATTCCTTTGTATTGAATTTAGTTTGTTACTAAATTCAAGTCATGTTAATCCAGAATTTCAATGGATTTGACTATATCATTCCCATCATGCGGGCAAATGCAAAGCAAATGTAGTAAATTTTCCCCAACAGGAATAGTTTCTGTTTCTGCTGCTGAGTTGATCTGAGACTGTAGCCAATAAAAAGACCAGAGGAGAGAAGGTCAAAAGTTATGAAGTTATGAGTAAGCAAATTTGCAGCCAATTTACTAATTAAGCCCTAATAATAACAACTTTGCTGATCAAAAAAGCTCAAAGGGGTTAACTGCATATCATTTTTTGATGTTAGCATCTCTGAGATCTGGAATTACAAGACTGGAATATCAAGGCAAAGAAAAGTCAGTAGCTGCTGGTAGGGCCCTCTACAGATTCAGGGGCCCCTCAGGGGCCTCCAGACACTCAGGAACCCCTAGAAATTATTTAATTGTAACACAGACCATAGATCTAAACCTGCAGAATTCTTTTATAGAGAATGACAATGTTATTAAATGTTATTTCATGTATTCAACTGTGGAAAAAATATATATACATTTAGGATTTAATTAGGAAGTTCACTATGTGAAAGTTTAAAGAATCATCTTGATAGTTTGATTGTTGTGTTACCATGACAACAATATGGTGTAATCTTTGTGTTCTGATTCTGTATTAAATATAGACAATGAATTGTCCGCACATTCCAAGAATTTTGAGAATATTTCTCCAGGAAGTTTTAAACTGCTGCTTTTTAGACCCCTTAAGATGGCATGGCTTCTTTTATTTTTGTCTTCTTCTATCATCAAAGTCTTTTAGGATTTCTAATGATCAGGATTTACAGCGATGGCTTTTGCTGTAAAATTTTTACAGTCACTGCATTCTAACAGCCCTGCATTCAAATTTAAATGATCTTTCCTTCTCTCTCTTTTAACAATTTAATGTGGTTGAAAACAAACTTACATTGTCAGAAGTGGAGAACACCCCATATGGAAGATTCTGGTAGGAAAAGTCAGAAGCTGCATTTACTCTTATGAAGGACATCTTCTGGTTGTCTCTGCTGAGCCACTTTGTTTCTTCGACTATGTGGAATACTGAGCAGTGTTAAGTGTTTCCAGAAGAGTAACTTTGGCTAGATACGCCTCCCACAGTACAGCCAATCACATCCCACAAGCAGCATCCGCCCTGCTCCAAGTCCTCTTGGTTAATTCATAACAGTCCTGAGATGACGATGCAAAATGTTCAATGAAGTAAACATACCCTCTTTGGTAGCACTGGAGTTCGGTTTCTGTTGTCTGCAAGGATAATGAAAAACAACCTACAGCATAAAGGAAAGGCGTTGAACAGAGGAAAACTCTGAAGGCTCACCACATGCATAGTACATGCATGCTACTTAGATAAAAAAAACAAAAAAAAAACAATGTGAAACAAAGTAAATTAGTTTAAAAGAAATGCTTGAAAGTGCAACTGTCTCTCTTTGTGAAAATATATCTATAGAAGCAGTAGAAAGTCAATAAGTCAGCCTACTTGTAGTCACTGACAAACTCTAATTTCTCAGTTTATGTTGTCGTCGTCATCATCTGCATACTGAACAATGTTTTTGCATAGGAGTCTGTTTATCAGTTCAATCATTGCAAACTAGAAAAGTAATGACAAGAAGTTTGTATACAAGTTTCTTTTTTATTGGAAGCTGTGAAGGTTCCACATTAAATCTCATCTGTATCGATCAGACTATGTCTATAAACATTTTTATTTTTTAGAAAAATGTATGTCAGTAGTTATGCTTGGTTAGTGCAGGTCCCTTTTTGTATTGTTTTCCACTCGTTTTTTCACAATGTTAATTAATACTAGTTCACACAATATATACTTACATACATTAAAATGTAAGTCAGATGTGATTTCCAATTGATTAGTCACCACTTTTGTAGAACTTTTTCATTTCCTTTATTTATTTATAAATAAATCTATTTATTTAGAAATAGATTCAATATTTATTTCATCTATTTTTGTTTTTTGATTAGTATTATTAGATATTCACAATGGAACTGGAAGGCCACAAGTGCAGCGTGTGTGACAGGACTTTCTCTGTGAAGTCCAACCTCACTTGGCACATGAAGCTTCGTGGTCGGAAGGAGTGTCTGTGTGAGGTGTGCTGGCAAGGCTTCGCTCAGAAGCAGCAACTCAGCAGACACCTGAAGCAGCACCTCTACCCTATTCTCCGCCTTTATAGGCCAGGGGAAGCCAAGCTGCAGTGCACTGATGCAGCCAAGGCTGTAGCAGCAGCCCCCTCCAGAGCAGTAGACCCCACCTGTCTGGATCCAGAAAAGGTGGAGGCTGCTGCTAAAAAAAGCCAGTAGAGTCATGTGGAGACGTCTGCCAGTTACCACTTTTGGGTTACGCAGGGCAGATTTTCAAGTGGCTGCTGGAGAACTTTTAAACTGCTGACAAATGCATTTTTTGATTTTTCTAAATACACAGTGTGAAAATGTCACATTTTATGTTGCCAAAGACTGACTACAGTAGGTTTAGTATTTCACTTTGTGAGGAATTTCACAACGTGTTATTTTATATGTTATGTGTTTCATTTTTGGCATTTACAAATCCTATTTTTTCTTTTAACTAAATATGTTAATATCTTAAGTAGTGTGCTGAATTTATTTTGTCTGATTTCTTCTGCAGAAAATGTCCCTGTGGGGAGTGTGAGGTGCCGGTCTCGAGCTGGGCACAGATCACATCGGCTGGCAGCCAGGACTCTCAAGTGAGAGGTCAAAGAGGTCAAAGAGGTGGCTGGCTTTACTGCAGTCACCAACTGCACATGTCATCCATTGTTTTATTTACGAAGCTGAAGGCAGCAGCAGCAAACATCAGCTCCTATGGCCAACTCTGTCCTCCTTCTGTGTTTGGCCCTCTTTTCTCCTTTTCTGATTTCTTTATTTAGATCAAGTTCATTGTGCTCCAGTTCAAAGTAAAAAGGCTCAATAACTTTACTGACCAGTGTTAGGCTGGCAGTTGGACCATTACACGTTATTTACCCAGAAAGCATTGCAGCATGAACAACATAGCAACATTCCTGTGAAAATATTTTATTAAAATTTACAAAAACTAAATAACCTACAGTTTCATTGTTTTGTTTTTACATCTAAAATAAATATTTTCCAAATAAGATTTATTTTTATAACTAATCATGCTTTCCTCTAAGCCTCCCTGATATTCAGGGGTCCTGGAGAGGAGGGTCCATCAGATAGTCGAATCTTGGATTTAGAAAGAGTAGTGTGGTTTTCGTCGACTGGACCAACTCTACACCATTAGCAGAGTCCGGGAGGGTGCGTGGGAGTTTGTCCACGCACCCTGTGTTTTGTGGACTTGGAGAAGGTGTTCGACCTTGTCTCTCAGTGAGTCCTGTGGGGTTACTCCAGCAGTATGCGGTATTGGGCCAGTATTGGGCCTTTGAGATAGGCTGTTAGGTCCCTGTCTGATCAGTGTCAGAAACTGGTCAGCATTGCCACCAACATGCCTTCAGTCAGGTTCGTTTCCGGTGAGTTTTTCTCCGCCAAACTTTCCCTTTGTCAGTGATTCTGTTCATTACTTTGATTGACAAAATTTCAAGGACCAGCCAAGGTGTTGAGGGGATCCATTTTGGTGGCCTTTGGATCATGTCTCTACTTTTTGCAGGTTATGTTGCTGGCTTCATCAGACCTTGATCTAAAGCTTTCACTTGAGCGGTTTGCAGACGAATGTGAAGCGGCTGGAATGAGGTTCGTGTCTCCACATCAGAAGCCATAATGTTGAGCAGGAAAAGGGTAGAGTGCTTTCTTCTGATTGAGGAGGGTGTCCTGCCCCAAGTGGAGGAGTTTAAGTGACTCGGGTTCTTGTTCACGAATGAGGAGAAAATGGAGCGGGACATTGATATAGATGGATTGATACAGCATCTGCAGTGAAGTGGGCGCTGTACCAGTCTGTAATGATGAAGAGAGAGGTGAGTTTAAAAGTAAATCTCTTGACTTACCAGTCAATCTACATTCCCATCCTCATCTATGGCAATGAGCTTTGGGTCTTGACTGAAAGAACAAGGTCACGGATACGAGCGGCCGAAATGAGTTTTCTCAGTAGGGTGTCTGGGTTCTCCCTTAGAGATAGGGTAAGAAACTCAGTCATCTGGGAGGGACTCAGAGTAGAGCCGCTGCTCCTTCATGTCGAGAGGAATCAGTTGAGGTGGCTCAGGCATCATGAAGGGATGAGGTGTCCTGGGCACGTCCCACCGGGAAGAGACCCAGGGGAAGATCCAGGTGTAAGGAGGCCTACTTTTCTGGCTTGCAGTCAGGAGGACTGGGCTGACAATTGTTTTAAAATACGTTTTATGCATTAAAAATACAGTTATAATGAAAAGGCATTGTTTGTTCAAACATATATTCTGTGATTCATTTCAATTACATTACAACTGAAGATTTGTATTCATAATATTTTCAAATCACTACTCTATACCAGTGCCAAACATACACCTTCTTTCATGTTCTATATTCAAATTAACACTACTGAGCATCTGACTTTCAACAAAAAATGTTTTATATAGAATTGGATATAAATTTCAGCAAATGAGAGGTTAATGGTACTTTACTACTAGCATACAAACAATAATCAAAGCTGTTTAAACCGCATGTATACTGTTGTCCATAAGAAAAAGATAAAATAAAATAAAAAAACTTTATTTTTTTGAACATCCCTTTTGCAGGAGAAGCATGTACTCCAGCCAGGTGTGCAGTCTTTGGTTATTTCACAAGCCATTATGACCTGTAAAATGATTTTCGCAACTATAAAAGTCCACAGATTTTCAGAAGTCATATTTATAAGTCATTGTCAAGGGTCAAACATTTGTGAGAAGTTTAAGTCGAGTCTTGCCCTTTTCATCCCAAGTCAAGTATCCACTATTTAAAGATGACTTCAATGTGACTCAAGCCTAAGTCAACTCTTGTTCTGATCTTCTCTTTGGTCTTAATCTATAGGATAAGTCTCTGACTCAGGATCTTACGGTTGATCTCAGCCAAGGCCACAGAAAAGACAAATGCCTTTTCATCAGACAGACTGGCGTACACATCCACTTCCTTTTCTTGTTTTTCTGTGAATACAAAAACACAACATATTAAAGTATTTTTAATGTAAGATTATAAGATTTCAATCAACTCATGATAGCTATTTAATTTTAGGGACAAATGCAAACTATAAAAAAGAAAAACAGGAAACTTTCTTAGATAGGTCAAATTCTAGGTCACTGGGGCCACAGCAGAAAAAAGCAGTACCGTCACTTGACATATGAATATATGAATTGCTCTCCAGTGGTCAACAGTTCCATTAGTATGAATATATATATATATATATATATATATATATATATATATATATATATATATATATATATATAAACAACATCCTTTGAGTTGGCAAATTCTGATAATTCCTCATATTTGTTAAATCCGTCATGAAATGTTCTTTAAAGTTATGATATATGTAGGAGATATGTAGAAAATGGTGATAATATGATAATATGACATGGAAATGTTAAATGATATGTATATCATGCCACATGGAAGATCCTTATGCGCAGTTCGCATGAGAGTTATTAAAGGGACTTTAGAATCGAATAATGGATGCATCAAGGATTTCTCCATTGAAGGAATGAAGACCTTTGAAATGGAACATATTGTACTGCAAGATACTGCTCAGTATATTCTGTTTTCTAAGGACGACCAAGAGACACTGGCGGTTCAGGGACCCTTTGTATGCTGGACTCAGAGACTCATGGACATGGAGAATGTGTTGGGGGCCCTGAACCAGGACTGTGAGAAGGCAGAATAATAAAATCAACCCAGAAACAACAATTTGTTTCTGTGACCGAAGGACAGGAACTGTACTACACTACATCGCTGCTGACTATTCATTTGGTGTTATAATTAAAGTTTGGTCTTTACTTAGTTAAATCCTTGCCATTATGACCTCTGATGATGTTGGGTGAAACTCATTGCAGGTATCATGGTCTGCAGTTCCAATTGTGTCTGCAGGTGGTTGCCTGGGACCATAGGATAATCGTTTTTTCCATGAATGAAAGTTGGACTGAAAGGGTTTTTGGATCCTATACTAATGGAACTGTTGACCACTGGAGAGCAATGCACTATAAATCATACATTCACCACAAGGTAAAACCATTAAGCTATATATTTACATAAGCTTTGTTGTTATGTTATCTATATTAACATTTTATCTTTATTGGTTATATGTTAGCCATCAGAAGCAGACTTCTATCCATACAATTCTCTTTAAGGAACTCATTCCTAACTAGAAAATAAGTGTACTTATTTTAGGGGGGATATGAAGAGGAATATAATTATGTTAATAGTTAAAAAATATATTGTTTGGTTGATTCGCACTAAGATATGTTTTAACCAAAAAGAATTATACTGTGTGAAATGGACTGGATCAATTTGACCTAAAAGTCAGGAAGGAATTAAGATTTGGAGAGATGTGGATAACAATCACTAAAGAGAGGAAAGTTGTTAGTTTAAGCTGTTGTGAAAATAAGTTCTGGCACCCGACATTTACCCTGCTCACCGGAGCCCAAGACTTGGAAAAGAATCTCAGTTTATGCCCAGTTCACACTACACGATTTTGCCCTCTAAGACAATCTTAGAACGTTCTGAGTTCTAAGATTGTCGCTTCCGACAATCGGAACCGATCATCCTGTAGTGTGTGGTGTGTTAGGACTGATCGGGTCCAGTCGGTGGAACGTCGGGGCCGCTGCAACGGTGAATGAAATGTGCTTAATTAGATCTCATAAAACCATAAGTGAAACTTTATCCTTATTTGGAGCAGCATGCTATAGGATCATTGTTTTTTTTTTTTAAATGAAAGATAATTATAAAATTATTGCACAGAGCACATCTGGTTGAGAAGCGCATTCCAATCTTTGGATGAAATGGTGCATTTGATTTTATTCTGCAGTCATAATACAGGTTTAAACAATACAATAAGTTTCAATTAAAGGAGCTGGAATACGTGAAGCTTTTGCAGTCAGTTGGGGAGAAAAGAATAACTGCCATCTGATTTTCTAAAAACGAATATGCAGGAAATGCTTTCTTCTACTTTAAGCTGCTCTTAAAGTAGAAGTCTTGTATGGGTAGAAGTCTGCTTATGTTTCTGATGTTTCAGTCATTTTGTGATATGCATATATTCTACAACAACATAAACACAGCAAAAAATTATAAAATTATATGTAAACGGTAACGGTTAATGAAACGACAAAACCGAAAACATTAAAAACTGTATTTTTTTTATGATAAAAAGAAAAAAAAACTCTGGAATTAGAGTGAAACCTTACACTCTAGGATCGAACCCGTTACGCCTACGATTTTAAATCGGCTAGTGTGTGGTCTGTCACGTTTTCAGAATCGGCCGACTTCTAAAATCGTGTAGTGTGAACTGGGCTTTGGACAGATAAGGAACAAACAACTTGACTAATAGTTTGTCTGAAATGGAGCAGATGTTGAGGTCAAAACGTCTCTGATTATTCCAGGAGGTCAACTCCTAATTCTTGGAACTTCAAATATACATCCAATGTAAAATGGAGCCAGAAGTGCCACGCAATTGAAGGGAAAGAACGTCATTGATTAAAGCTTCCCAATACACACACCAGTAGAGCTGGGACTCCATAAAAAAATTGATGTCAGAAGCAGAAGTCAAGAGATTTTGGATTTGTGTAACGATGTGAAGGTGATGTTTTGGCTCCGCAGATGTGCATTAAAATCTCTTCCTGTTTGACTATGAGCAGAAGGAGTTCAGAGTCTTGTGTATTTCTTTATTTATATATACAATGAGTTTAGTGCCTTTAAATTTCTCTATAGTATTTATCCATTTTCATTTGTAAACATAATCTTTTGCTAAATTAACAACAGCAACACACTTTGAACTAATGTTACAGCAAACAAATGGTTGTCCACAAGCAATACCTTGTGCTCCACTAGGGGACATCCACAGACCACAGTTTGAGCAAGACTGCACAAGAGCAACAATGGTCAGTCACTTCCCAAAGGTTGAACAGCAGTGTTATGATCATCATGAGAGATGGCAGGATAACAATGTTCCCAACACTGTGGTGGAGCATGAGGAGGGAATTTTCTCTGGGCAGTCAAAACTGCAGCCACGGTTGCAGAGAGTAAAGTTGGCTTTCTCATCACACACAAATGGGAGTACACCCCTGAAATCTCTACAGATATTCAAGTATATCTTTTCATGGGACAAGACTGACAAAATGACACTTAGACACAATGAAAAGTAATCTGTGTGCAGCTTATACAACAGTGTAAGTTTATTCTTCCCTCAAAGCAACTCTATACAGGCATTAATGTCAAACTACCAGCAACAAAAGTGAGTACACCCCTTCGTGAAAGTTCAGAAGTGTCAATATTTTGTGTCAGGGCCGTGCAGAAACCTTTGGAGGGACAGGGGCTCAAAGTTAAAAAGGGCACACTGAATAGGATCTTAAAACACCATACAACATAGCAACAACCCATATTAATCAAGAATCGAACTGGATCCGACTAGATCATTCCTATCATGCGGGGAAATATTTTCCCCAACAGGAATAATGTTGCTGTTTCTGCTGACAGTCCTGGAGGACTGAGTTGATGATCTTAGACTGTAGCCATTAAACAGACCAGAGGAGAGAAGATAAAAGGTTATGAAGTTATGAAATAAGCAAATTTCATAAGTTGTTCTATTTAACCTCTAGATCAACTTGGCTGCAGACTGATTTAGAGATCAAAAAAGCTCAAAGGGGTTAACTGCATATCATTTTTTGATGTTAGCATCTCTGAGATCTGGAATTGTAAGACTGGAATATCAAGGCAAAGAAAAGTCAGTAGCTGCTGGTAGGGCCCTCTACAGATTCAGGGGCCCCTAGAAATGATTTCATTGTAACACAGATCTAAACCTGTAGCATCATTTATAGAGAATGACAATGTTATTAAATTTTAATAACATTGTCATATACCTTGACAATGTTAATGTGAGCTGAATACCAGTGTATTCAGCTCACATACCTTGGCATTCAGCATTCAGCTTCACATTGTCAAAGTAAAGCTGAATGCTTTTTTTCTCAGCATTCAGCTGAGAAAACAAAGTACAATTAGGATTTAATTAAGAAGTTTACTTTGTAAAAGTTTAAAGAACCATCTTGATAGATTGTTGTGTTACCATGGCTACAATATGGTATAATCTGTGTATTTGAATTGGGGTTTGTTCACATATTTGGCAAAGGGAAAAACCGCTGAAGTAGAACTCAAAACCACTTCTTTCTTGCTCTCTGTATTGGCCAAGCTACATACAGACTCGTTGCCATAGCCACTGACAACTTGTCAAGTTTTCCCTTTTGGCCGAGAAAGTTCCAATTTTTTAACCCTTTTCTCGTCATATTATTATTTTCCCGTAAATATCCTGGATTGTGCCGCCCGCGCTCACGTTACTTTTCTCACAGGTCTTATTACGTTACTCTGTTTACATTTAACCTGCCGTCACCATTTCATCAGTCCAAATAATGTCCATTTCATCAGTCCAAATAATGTCCATTTCATCAGTCCAAATAATGTCCATTTCATCAGTCCAAATAATGTCCATTTCATCAGTCCAAATAATGTCCATTTCATCAGTCCAAATAATGTCCATTTCATCAGTCCAAATAATGTCCATTTCATCAGTCCAAATAATGTCCATTTCATCAGTCCAAATAATGTCCATTTCATCAGTCCAAATAATGTCCATTTCATCAGTCCAAATAATGTCCATTTCATCAGTCCAAATAATGTCCAATAAACAGACATTTTGTTGCAACATGTAAAAACAGTTTGGTTTGTAACGCCAAAACATTTCACAACACAAACAAGTGACACCTATTAGCCCAAATTGGGCCCAACATTAAATTCAAAATGCATTCAATAATTCTTGAACCTTGAAAATTTACAATATTCTCTATGTATTTATAGATCTCTGCTTATTAATAAGTCTTGTAAAAATGTGCTGTCAATTCTGGATATGTCACTCAAACTCTGGACACCAAACTTTTGAATTTTTTTAAAAATAAAAACTATTGATTGTCTGGCTAGACGACAATTGCAAGGATTTACCTTTCTCTTCTTCCTGTTTCTTCAGGCCCACAGTCTTTGGGCGACCACGGCCTCTACGGATGGTATCTGACTGACTGTTGGCTCGGGATCTTCTGTGGTTTTCTGAGTCACTGGTTAGAGGAGAGCCAATCCTCTCTCTGCGAATGCGCTCTGTTCTTCTCCGCTTGAAGTCCAGTTTGTCTGAAACAAAAACACGACCAGTAAGGATGCACAAAAAGTATAATTTTATATTTTAATAGGACATTATATTTCAAAAAAACTTGAGACATAAATTAATGCTTTTTACTTTGAAGTGATGTATTTATTAGAGGTGTGCCAATCGATCAGCCACCAATCACAATCAGCCGATTTCCGTGAAAAAGTGTCTGATCGGTGATCACGGTCTCGTGTTGCTGATCACACAAACAATCACCTGTATCTCACTTCGCAGCCTGCGTGTGCAGCTCATATCCTTTTTCCTTCACACTGAAACAACAGCAGGAAATCCTAAGCAATGTGGTGTGGAACTTCAACACTGAGAGTGAATGGGGAAGTTTGCGTGTTACAACGGAAAATTACCTCGGGGGTGAAGCACGTCAAAATGCATCAACAGAACAAGACAAATATGACATTTAAAGAACAAACACTTGATGGAGTTTGGCTACATCGAGGCTCACTGCAACTAACACACTGGTGGTGGAAGACGCTATTTCTGCTCTTGATGTTGAACCAACGTTAGACGCTTAAGTAGTAATCTTTTACAGACGGAGTCCTGTTTCTGCTCCACCCAGCAGCGAATGTCTGCTTAAAGCTGCCACATACAATTTAAACAAACATAATATTTTACATATGTCTTAAAATTTTCACTATGCCGTAACACAAGACAGATAACCTCTGAAAAAAATAAAAAAGTTGATCTCCTCTGCCACTTCCTAGCACTCTGCAGAATTATTCAGCTTGTCAGAAACAACCAATCAGAGCCTCCACTAACCAGCTAGCCATAAATGCTCTCAGGAAGTTTTGATTTAGTAACTCAGGATTATTTATTTTGATGCAGCCTGCATTTAACTTTGAATGAATGTTTCCTTTTTTCTTGATGTTATTTGATGTAGGCAGATTTATTTGACTGGTGTATAATACGATACACAAGTTAAATATTTAATGATGACAACCCTAACTTGTGTTAACTTGTTTTATTGATTGCAAGGTTTTCAATTGTCCTGTTGATTGAATAGCTGCTGTATTGTGCATGTTTATGTCTCAACTACGTTAATTTATTACCATATTATTTATAAATTTTGTCAGATCACATTTATACCTAAAGTGAAAAATTAACAACCAATCCAGATGATGAGCAATGCCGATCATTGCTCATCATGGGTGATCAGAATCGGAAGGAACATTTTTTTGTCATTTTTATTCGCTTTTTGATCCACAAGTAGAGCGAACATTCACTACACATTGGGAACTAACACTACATATCTGTTTCAAGCGAATTTCATCATAAGCATAACATCCTAGATGACATTGCAAGATCACCAGGCTGTCTGTAGATTGTTGTTGAGTCTCGGAGATGGCTAAACAGAGGGGAGGGAAGAAGCATGGCTAACTGAGACATGGCTAACTGCTGTGCCACGTTTTCTGCCTTTACACTCATTTTATATTTGTATAGTGACAAATTCTAAATTCTAATTCTACAAGATATGTCATCTTCAAAAAGATACATTTGTTTTTCTGCTCATATTCACTCATTTGGAGTTTGATGCCTGCTGCTGCACATTTGAATGATGTTTGGACAAGGCCTTGTTCACAGAGGTGATGTAACACCCAGAGGTGTTACATCACCTTTTCTTTTAACAAGACCCAGAAGCTGTGTTGAAAGTCAGGATACTGATAGTTGAAGCTTTGTGGGGGGAGTTCTTTCACATTCTTGCTTGCATTCAGTTTCTCAACAGTCCAGAGTCTCTATTGTTGTATTTTGTGCATCATAATCAGAAACACATTTTCAAATGTAGTTAATTTTTTTTCTATACAAGTTTCTTGTGACCCTGTTGACTATTTGCAGGTAAACATTTGATGCTTCTATGATCACACCTCAATATCTTAGCAATTTCAGTCTAGTACCAGCACTCTTACTACGAAGCCATTCTGTTGTAACACATGCAAAATGTGGCTTGGTCTTGCTGGAATAAGCAAGTATGTCCCTTGAAAAAAGGCTGTTTGGATAGCAACATATCTCACTCCAAAACCTTTCAGTATTGGAGCAACAATGATGCCTGCAAAGACATGCAAGTTACCCATGCTGTGGGCACTAAGACACCTCTGTGATCCAGACAGTCCTTTTCCTCTTTAAGCTGGAGGCCACATTGGCCATGATTTCCAAAAACAATTTGAAGTGTGGACTCATCAAAACCCAGGACACTTTTTTGGCTCGCAAGTTCCTCTAGCCAGAAAGGTTCATCAGGCTAGCAGCGTTTTTGTGTGTTGTTGATATATAACTTCCGCTTAGTATTGTAGAGTTTTAACTAGAACTTGTAGATGTAAAAACAAACTATTCACTGACAATGATTTGCTGAATTGTGAAAATATTTGTTAGGGAATGATGTCGGGTTATAATGAGGTGCTGTCTGAGGGATTGATTGTCGTGGGCCCTCAATGTGGACCTTGCTGCTTACTTGCAGGGATTTCTCCAGATGCTCTGAAACTTTTAATGATATAACAGACTGAAGATGATGACAACCCTAAATTAAAGTCAAAGCAAGAGGAATGTATAAAGTGTTTTAATGCTGGCAAAGATGTTGTGGCCTCATTCCCCATGAGGTCGATTACAGCGAATGCAATTTCTAATAAGCCTATTTGAGCTGGTGCATTACACGTCACAGACAAATGCTAGGGATTGGGTCAAATTAAATCCATTCACTTACAACTTAAACAGAGTCCATGCTTCCAGATAACAATAACTTCTCAATAGTCGATTGTTCAGTCCCACTGTTATTTTTTAACAAGCTCGCTTTTAATGGCAGACGACACAAAATATAGCTGCAGGTACCAACTGCTCAATAGCGTTCTAAAAGCTGCTTTATTCTTAGTAACTGGTCAGTCAGCACGAGCTTCAATTCTGATTTACAGTAATACTCATCTATTAACTGAAGTTAGGTTGAGATAGACAGACAGGCTGCATCCCTCTCAATCTGGATATCCAGCCACCAGCTGAAATGCTTTATGCCATGTGTTTGGTGAGGTGAACCTTACCTGTGATAGCTGGTGAAGGACATTCACTGAGTTTTGCATTTAGAAGTTTTCTGCTGATAAATATATAACCACATGGACAGGATTTGCAGGCAACTGGAATCTGCAAAATAAAATGCTAATATTAAATTATGTTTTCATGACGATCAAGAGGGATTGAAAATATATGCCACCAGCAAAACAGGTTCAAAATTTTTACTGTAATTTACACATACATTTGTCTTGTTTTTTTTAGACCCTAGCAGCAAAAGGGCTGCGAAGGTCCAGTGTATCAATTACGTTTATTTGTTTACCTGAAAATGAATTGCCAATTTAGAGGCCCACACACATACAAAAGCTCAAACTTTATACATGAGTGAAATTTACATCCAGTATGTGTTGCGCAAAAGAATGAAGAATAAAAACAGGTCAACAGCACCGCTGGAGCAACTTTCAAAACCCAGTTTGGTACACTTCCCAAGACTTACCCCAAAAGTTTCAACAATAAAGAGGAAGTCAGCCATCTTGGATAGAATTTGCAATTTTGGTTCTAATTGATCTGTGTTAAATTAAGTCAGCATGACCTTTCGAGATGAGGAATTAAAATTTGTAGAAATTGTGAATTTCTGACCATGTTATGATACAATAATTTTTTTTATAAGGCCTACAAAGAAAGCCAGAGGTACAAACCTTTGATTCATTCTTTTCAGGACCCTAAGAAAATGTCAGGGGTCAAATTTTGACATCACACTAGACCGCTCTATGAAGAGTAATGTTTTACTTTGAAAAGTCTATGTTTGACCAAATATCAAATAGTTGCATAAGCAAATGTTTATGCAGTATACACCAAAATACTCCAGAAATATTTAAGCATATACCAAATATTTCTATAGATGAATATTATGCTGATATTTGCTAAGCTCACTCTAATAATAGCGAGCCCTATTGCTATTACTAGGGCTTAGCCTTATTGCTAGAAGCATTAAAACAATCAGCACCAATCCATATTTTCACCTAGGATTCTAAAATTTGATAAACAAGCAACTTCTCAAGACTAACAAAAAAGCCTCTTGGGACTCTGGCCCTATCCCAGAGGAAGTTGGCCAATTTCAGAGGAAAAACCACCTTTTGTCTCCTTTCAACACATTTGAGTAGTTTTCCAATTAGACGTTGTTTCAAAGCAATGTGGGCGTGGTCAAGCCTCAAAATCTGACTTTCTCACTATCACATGATCACATGAAATCTTTATTGTTCACTCTGGTTGGAGCCAGTAGTTGGTTAAGGTTCGGAAATCTTTATCATTGATCTTCATTCTCTGATGGCATAACGTAAGATAACACGGTGTGACAATCTGTCAAATACTAAATGTTCACTGTTGATAAAATTGTACAGTCACAAAAGAGAAATTAAGAATTGCAACACTTTAGGGCCTGCATTTCTGCTGTTCTACTAATGAAACTGTGCACATATAAACAAAATGCATTTTGTGAAGTAACATTTTTTTAAATGCAACTGAAATGTGTAATTATTTGGACTGCTGCCAACAAGAAGGCTATGAAAAAAAAACATGTCACTCACTGTATATAAAAGCATAGCATGCATCTCACTAACATCTGGATATGTGAGGAAACCCAAAGGAGTGAGGATCCAGATTTCTCTCCAACAGACAACTTCATTAGATTGCACTTATATCCCTTGTGACTGTAAACATCAGACAACCGATCCAACTGTTTCCTCCTGATAAAAATGATACAGTAATTATCCAGAACAAATTTTAATTGTTTTCTTTCGCCCCAGCAATGGTGAAGTTGCTTTTGACTGAGAAAGAAGTCAGAACTAGATATTCTGTTGTACACAAACTGACCTGTTGGTCACATTCGGGACAGGATTTAGTTGCCATTTTAACCTTCTTTGTTTTGTGGGCCGACATGGTCCTTCAGTTCCGCAGAGACACGAAGAGCCGAAGTCAGACCTCTGTGAGTCGTGTGGACCGGTACCGAAATTAGACCTGATGATCCCGGAGTAACATCCAGCCATACAGTCGAAAAATATTATCTTAGACTGCGGTTTCGTCTGCTTTCAGGACCATGATCAATTTCGTTTTCTTATTCTGGCATCTTAATACAAACGTAATACCAACTATAATGCGCAATAGTGCCACCTGCTGGACTACAAGGGGGACCGAAACTTATCAGGAAACAATTGATTTTTCCCCTCTAAACTTGTGTTTTTCAAAAATTATGTACGTTTAATTTCGGTTATAGTAATTGTCGACCTTTTGAATTCTTTTTAAGCTCAGTCTTTTGTAGTTAATGTCCATGAAACAAAGCATATGTAGTCAGAATGCAGTGATCATAAGCTCAGTGTTTTCTGCTTACTTTAAGCATCTTACTAAGACCTGTTTTTTAGAAGTTCAGTTTTTATAAGTGTAGTAATACTTTTATTTTTTCCTATTTTTATTCCTCAATATTCTTGCCAAATATTTTGAACGTAATTGTTATTTTGCATTCATCCTTATTCAATAATTATTTTATGGCAAAACTCTCTGCAGAATCATGACATTTTATTTCTTCTTCATTCTCTTTTATTGCCAGCACGTTCAAGAAAGGTCACATCAATCAAGAAAATATAGACATAGTGGGTAAATCTCGCTGCGTATACTTCCCTATCACACTACAGTGAAGCACCAACATTTGCTGCTGGTTGTGCTTTATTGGCAGCCAACTGGTGGTATTAGAAAACAAAGCAGGAAAAAGAGACAGATGGTAAATTATTTTTGATGATCATTACAATAAAAAAGGTGTTTATGGTACTGGCATACAGGGAAGAACATGGTCAGCAAATCTTAGTTTTCAGAAAACAGGCACTTTTCTCTTCATAGCGGAAAGAAGTAGCATCTGTGACAGCATTCTGATAATGTAGCCCATTGTCTGCTTCAAAGGTTCCACCGGAAGTAGTTCCTGTAATCTGACTGGTTGATTTGCTGTTTACCAAGCAACTGGAGAGATACACAGACAGTGCCTGCTAAGTTTATGCTTCGAAGCAACATTATTAAGTTATGTTATAAATTCTCAGTCCTTTGCAAATGATATTCTCTTCTACATCTGTCTTAATATTTCTTCTAAAGATAAACAATGAAACTGAACCATATTTATTATCCTAGACATTATACTGTTCCTCAGATGTAGTGCATTGGTCTGTGCGCTAAATGGAATGCATCTGCAGGGTAATTTTATTATCACTGAAAAAGAAAAAGCTGGGTTGGATCAGCAGGTTAACTCCAAACACATCAGGTTTGATTATTTTTAAGCTGATCAAGGTGTGTATGTGTGGCAACACTCAAGGAACTCAGAAATATTATGCAACTTCAGTTTTGGAGCCAAAGAAATAAATAGCTCAACATCACCACCCTGGGAATATTACCTTCTTTTGAAAGCACAGGTTCAGATGTGCAGGTAGTTATAACATTTGAGACAGGACTTAGATTCACAAAGCAATTAATTAGATTCTATTTTCAAACACTCTTAAAAACACCAAAAGAAAACAGAAGAAAACCCACAGTAGCTGAGGTCACCAGCAGAAGGACACACAGCAAAACAAAAAACCCTTTAAAACACCAAAACGTTGCATAGAAGAGGAAGACGCCCTGACCACATCAGCACCACCACTGTACCTCAGCAACTGCAAACAGGAGAGATAATTAATGCATGTTACAACCCTGTCTAATAAAACAGAAACAGTGTCAGCCCAAATAATTAAGAATCAAAAGAGCTGTAAATGAAACAAGATACCAAACAAAGAAATAGAAAATACAAGCTAAAGAAAATGTGCAGCGCCATATTTTACACACAAGTCGGCATGTAAAATAATAAACTTTGCATTAAAGTTTGCGCAAATATACGCACATCTTTTCTGTGGACAATATCAAACTACAAAGCGTCAAAACACCTAAATACACTGAATTCTGACGACATTCAATGTTATGTAGACCAAAAAGTTTCAAACCAAATGTTTTTTCATGATTTTAATATTTTGTTTAAATGTAAACGATGAAACTGAGCCACATTTTTCCTCAGACAATAATCTAACACGAACATGTGGCGCACAAGCAGTTATCATGGAATAGTTTGGGTTCCTTAATACTAGTCTTGGTTTATTAATACTAGTTTGGGTTTATTAATACTAGTTTGGGTTTATTAATACTAGTTTGGGTTTATTAATACTAGTTTGGGTTCATTAATACTAGTCTTGGTTTATTAATACTAGTTTGGGTTTATTAATACTAGTTTGGGTTTATTAATACTGGTCTGGGTTCATTATTACTAGTTTGGGTTTATTAATACTAGTTTGGGTTTATTAATACTAGTTTGGGTTTATTAATACTAGTCTGGGTTTATTAATACTAGTCTGGGTTCATTAATACTAGTTTGGGTTTATTAATACTAGTTTGGGTTTATTAATACTAATTTGGGTTTATTAATACTAGTTTGGGTTTATTAATACTAGTCTTGGTTTATTAATACTAGTTTGGGTTTATTAATACTAGTCTGGGTTCATTATTACTAGTTTGGGTTTATTAATACTAGTTTGGGTTCATTAATACTAGTTTGGTTTATTAATACTGGTCTGGGTTTATTAATACTAGTCTGGGTTTATTAATACTAGTCTGGGTTCATTAATACTAGTTTGGGTTTATTAATACTAGTCTGGGTTTATTAATACTAGTCTGGGTTCATTAATACTAGTCTGGGTTTATTAATACTAGTCTGGGTTCATTAATACTAGTTTGGGTTTATTAATACTAGTTTGGGTTTATTAATACTAGTCTGGGTTCATTAATACTAGTTTGGGTTTATTAATACTAGTTTGGGTTTATTAATACTAGTTTGGGTTTATTAATACTAGTCTGGGTTTATTAATACTAGTTTGGGTTTATTAATACTAGTTTGGGTTTATTAATACTAGCCTGGGTTCATTAATACTAGTTTGGTTTATTAATACTGGTCTGGGTTTATTAATACAAGTTTGGGTTTATTAATACTAGTCTGGGTTTATTAATACTAGTCTGGGTTCATTAATACTAGTCTGGGTTTATTAATACTAGTCTGGGTTCATTAATACTAGTTTGGGTTTATTAATACTAGTCTGGGTTTATTATTACTAGTCTGGGTTCATTAATACTAGTTGGGTTTATTAATACTACTTTGGGTTTATTAATACTAGTTTCGGTTTATTAATACTAGTCTGGGTTTATTATTACTAGTTTGGGTTTATTAATACTAGTCTGGGTTCATTAATACTAGTTTGGGTTCATTAATACTAGTTTGGGTTTATTAATACTAGTTTGGGTTTATTAATACTAGTTTGGGTTTATTAATACTGGTCTGGGTTCATTAATACTAGTTTGGGTTTATTAATACTAATTTGGGTTTATTAATACTAGTTTGGGTTTATTAATACTAGTTTGGGTTTTTAATTACTATTTGGGTTTATTAATACTAGTCTGGGTTCATTATACTAGTTTGGGTTTTATTAATACTAGTTTCGGTTTATTAATACTAGTCTGGGTTCATTAATACTAGTTTGGGTTTATTAATACTAGTTTGGGTTTATTATACTAGTCTGGGTTCATTAATACTAGTTTGGGTTTATTAATACTAGTCTGGGTTTATTATTACTAGTCTGGGTTCATTAATACTAGTTTGGGTTTATTAATACTAGTTTGGGTTTATTAATACTAGTCTGGTTTATTAATACTAGTTTGGGTTTATTAATACTAGTTTGGGTTTATTATACTAGTCTGGGTTCATTAATACTAGTTTGGGTTTATTAATACTAGTCTGGGTTTTATTACTAGTCTGGGTTCATTAATACTAGTTTGGGTTCATTAATACTAGTTTGGGTTTATTAATACTAGTCGGGTTTATTAATACTAGTTTGGGTTTATTAATACTAGTTGGGTTTATTAATACTAGTCTGGGTTTATTAATACTTGTTTGGGTTTATTAATACTAGTTTCGGTTTATTAATACTATCTGGGTTCATTAATACTAGTCTGGGTTCATTAATACTAGTTTGGGTTTATTAATACTAGTCTGGGTTTATTAATACTAGTTTCGGTTATTAATACTAGTCTGGGTTCATTAATACTAGTTTGGGTTTATTAATACTAGTTTGGGTTTATTAATACTAGTCTGGGTTTATTAATACTAGTTTGGGTTTATTAATACTAGTTTGGGTTTATTAATACTAGTCTGGTTCATTAATACTAGTTTGGGTTTATTAATACTAGTCTGGGTTTATTATTACTAGTCTGGGTTCATTATACTAGTTTGGGTTTATTAATACTAGTTTGGGTTTATTAATACTAGTCTGGGTTCATTAATACTAGTTTGGGTTTATTAATACTGGTCTGGGTTTATTAATACTTGTTTGGGTTTATTAATACTAGTCTGGGTTTATTAATACTAGTTTTGGTTTATTAATACTAGTCTGGGTTCATTAATACTAGTCTGGGTTCATTACATTCAATACATCAAAGATCTGCTGTTGTTGTATCAACCTTCCAGACTCTCAGGTCTTCTGGTTCTGGTCTGCTCTGCATCCCCAGAACCAGAACCAAGAGAGGAGAAGCAGCTTTCAGCATCTATGCACCAAAACTTTGGAACAAACTTCCAGAAAACTGTAAAACAGCGGAAACCCTGACTTCCTTCAAATCTCAAGTAAAAACGCACCTGTTTAGAGTTGCATTTGAAATGTAATATGTATGGATTTGATTTTGTGGATATGTATGTAATTTTTTTTTTTTTTTTTTTTTTTTCCTGTTGTGGGCAACGGGGCCCGGCGAATACCCGTGGTTAAACGGACGGCGGAGTCCGGCGGTAACAGGCGCTTAAATTCCGTGTCAAAGGGAAGGGGGAAGAAAGGGAAAGAAGAGGGGAAAAAGGGAGGAAAAAAAAAAAAAAAAAAAAAAAAACCTTGGTATTTTATTCTATGTTGCATGCCTTCGTGTTTTGTGTTTATGATGTAAAGCACTTTGAAATGCCTTGTAGCTGAAATGTGCTATACAAATAAAGTTTGATTGATTGATTGATTAATACTAGTTTGGGTTTATTA